GCTGATAGTATATTTTCCTTGTTTTGTAGATTAAATATCATGAGGAATTTGAGAAGAGTAAGATGGGTGCTCCTGGAATGGAGGGAGGGGAGCTGGAACGCCGTAATTCTCAAGAAGGTGCCAATTACAGGAGACCAGTTGAACAGCCACCTCCATCACATCAACAACCTCATCATGCCCAGCCAAGTAACCCTGGTAATGAGCAAGAGGAAAAAAGATATTGTTGCAAATCCCATCAATGTATTTACACGAAGATAACTATTAATTTGCCTTGCAATAATTTCGTCTTGCACAAATAACATAGTATTGCCTTTGTTCAGCTTATAGTTATAAAGCGGTGTTTATAATTTATAGTTATTTATTTCTTACAATGCAATATAAGGAGCTCATTCTGGGATACAGCCTCATTTATTTAATTTAGCTGTGAGATAGATTGAGCTGAAAAAAGGTAGCAGCCCAAAGTTACTATTGATAATTGAAGAGGTACTTGAATCCTAGTCTTCATAATCCTAAGCATGCTAGTATTATATCACATCAAAATTCAGTTTTTAGAAGAATCATAAGATACATGAGTGAAATGAAACAGTTCCATAACACTGAGAAGTGGGAGATGGAGCATGTGCTAAAAGAAAAGTAGCAGAGTGACAGGGAAAAAGGTAACATAACTGGAAAGACTATGCTAGTTGATGCTAAATACGCCATTTTACTCCCACAGATTATCTATCTGATATTAAAATGCAAGAATATTATTGTAGATGAAGCCTGCCAATATTGTGTGCAAAACTGGAGTGATTATCTGTAATATTAGGCAAAATAAACAGTTGTCACCAAAAATATGAAAATAGTAGGACTAATAATTGTAAGTAGAAGTGTTATTGGTAATAGTTTCCATTTTCTTATAAGCTACATTCTCAGTTAATCTATTCAGTTTATTATAATCACTGACTAGTATTCAAATTCATGCATAGACTATGAAGAACCAATATAAAATTAAGGCTTAACATTATTAACTTTTAATAGCATACAAATTGTTCCATTTGATTACAAATTATTGTCCCCCAAATCATGACATGAGACTCAAAAAACAGCCAGAAGAAATTTGCAGCATGGCGTGTAAACTTATTCCACAAATAAATAGCACAAAATTATTTAATATTGCAGTTTTTAAAACATAATGACAAATAGAAACAAAGATGAAAGCAAAAGGCTGTACTTATTCCTTTACCAGATTCTGTTATCTCAAAGCTTTTCAATTTGTAAATTTTGCATCTCAGACACTTTTTCATCAGGAATTTTGCATTGATAGTTATCCAGTGCAGATTCAAGTTATAATCAATGGTTAATAATGTCTTTGTTCCCCCTCCCCCCAATTCTAGTTTATCATCAGCAGCCATCACAACAACCAGCCTCTCAGTCCTATGTCTTTAAGGAACCAGCAGCACCAGTCTCAATACAGCGTAGTGCCCCAAGTGGAGGAGGAGTAAGTATGGTCCTGCATTGACATGTACAGTAGAACCTCGGGTCGCAACCGTAATCCATTCCAGGACTACGGTCACAACCTGATCTGGTCGTGGCAGGAAGCACAACCATCTGCGCATGCGCCTATAGTACTGTGCATGCACGGAAGGGGAAATCGTCGCAACTGTACTGATCGGCACCCGAGGATCTGTTCGGAACCAGAAGCAACAATTTTCCCAAATTGTTGGTCGTCACCCGATTTAGTCGCGAACAGGAACGTTCATGACCCAAGGTTCTACTGTATATACAATTTCTTGTAAATATTTCAGATTTTATTCTGAAATAAGTAGTCTTAAATCTTAACCACTATCCAATGATGTGGTCTATATCTCTAAGGTTCAGGTGAAGATAGAAGGAAAGGTGCTTCCATGTCAGAAAAGATATATATTAAACAAAATTACTTTAATTGCAGCAATTAATGTACAATATTGGAAAGGAATAAGTCTCATCTCTGCATGTGAAAGCTACAGAAGGCAGCTCAAAATACTGTGATATTTAGCCTCCAGCTGTCTATTGATTCTCTGATTTCAGTTGAATCTTGAAATTATGGTTTCATCTTTTTAATTCTTAGCTTGTTTAGTTAGAAAAGTCACAGATAATCAGTAAAACTTTTAATTCAAGTTTCATTCAGTTCATGCTGATCTGCACAGTGGAGCACAGTTCATCCATAAACCAAACAGTAAGACGAAAGTTCCTCCAAAATGGATAGTGTGTAGCATTTCTAGGTGTTGTGCTTAATTTTTGCCTGTTTTTAATTTTGTATATTTCAGTTTTGTAAACAATATAGAAAATAAAAATTTTAAGTATAATATATTAACATGAATTCTGTTTGTATGTAACAATAGGGGGGTTATCATAAAAATTAGCATCTACCAGAACAAGCCAGAAACCTTACTTAGGATGGGAGCTAATAAGAGCCAAATATTTAAATCTATCTTTTCATACTTTTCAGTAGGTTGCTGGAGCACTGGTAAAAGGAGGCATAGCATTAGAATGCGCAATATTCTTTTTTCCACCGTCTGATTGTTTCCAAATAATCAGTTAAGCAAACACTAGAGAATGTGGAGCAGGAAGACTTAAAAATCCTTTGCTGCAATCTGCAGAAACATATAGCACAGGAGAGGAGGAGGAGGACTATAGAGGAGGACATAGAGCATATTTAAAATTTCCTGGAATAAGTGGCTGTCCAGGCAGATAATTATGTGGTTTTATTTGGCTTACAGGTTGGGTGCCTTCCTGTATTTTATCTCTGAGAGATGTGAATTTATCTCTAATTCCACTTTCCTGTTGATATGCTTACATTCTTAGACATAATGTAAAAATATACTAAGTGTGCTGTAAGCAACAGGAAAATGTAGAAACCTTAGGAGACGGGAAGATCTTGTTAATTTGTAGTTTGTAAGAAGGAAAAGCGGTAAACTGTTTCTTTCTGCTTGAATTTCATTTTCTACTTCCCTAATATTTGGAGATTCAGATTATTTGAAAACTAGGGTGGGCAGAGAAATAAACTCTTCTATCAGCCTCTATCTGTAGCCGCTTAGCCCTACATCCTGCATTTTCTTGAAGCTCCTAGATTGCACAAATATTACCAAATAAAATTCATTGAACCTAAATATATATTTTAAAAAATCATTCTCTCCTTTTTCCACCGTTTTGGAAATATCTATTTGTGAGGATTGATTTATACTTTACTTTCTTCTCTTTTCCCTTTCCCAGAAACGGTTCCGTGCAGTCTATGATTACAGTGCAGCCGATGAAGATGAGGTCTCCTTCCAGGATGGTGATACCATAATCAATGTGCAGCAAATTGATGATGGCTGGATGTATGGCACCGTTGAACGGACCGGTGACACAGGCATGCTTCCAGCTAACTATGTGGAGGCTATATGAGCTCTGTTGTAGTGCTACCCTGAAAGCCAGCAGGGCAAGGGCTCTTTGGGGTTTTTGTTCCCTTATCACTTCTTTGCTCTCTCTTGTTACCCATCATTTATTATGTTATGAATCTTTGACATGCTCATCTTTTTCTCGACCAAATTAGCCTTGATTTGGAGGCATACGAACTTGGGAGGGGTATCATGTAATTGCCCTTCCATCCTTTTCCTTGGCCTTCGTGGAACATAGCACTGTGCCCTTCTCCTCCCTCTCCTTGGAGCTATATTTTCTGAAATTGATACTTAATGAAATAAATCCTACTTCAATTGCTACATGGATTAGGAAGTAGTGTAAGAAGGCTGAAAAGCTGTTTATTTGGCTGGTGGGGAAGGAGAGGAATGTCACACTTTCAGTAACTTGGGGAAAATCTGAGCATTTTATTGAAAAAGATTATCAGGATCTCTGCAATGTTGACTCTTGCTCATTTATTCTATCTAACTTTCCATGAATTTTAAATATTCATTTGAAAGAAATGAAAGTATTTTTTAAAAGCAGGAGAGTTTTTTGTGGACTCAAAGCAGTGAGCATATGTGTAGTCTATATGGAAGATATGGAAGCTCCAGCAGTTTCTAGCATAAAGGTACTCTATACAGATGGAATAGTTTAGCACCATGATGGCAAACCTATGGCACGCATGCCAGAAGTGGTACACAAAACCCTCTCTCTTGGCATGCAAGCTGTTGCCCCACCTCAACTCTACCACCATGGACATCCCGCCAGCTAGCTGGTCTTTGGGTCTCTGCCGTGTATGTACAGGAGGCGGCGCGCACACATGGGACTTGTGCGCATGTGCAGGGGTGGGATGAACACATGGGGGTTGTGTGCGCGGGGGTCATGCATGCCCGCGCAGGGGATCGTGCGTGCATGCGGGAGGTGGGGCATATGTGCGGGGGCGTACATGCTTTAGGGGTGTGCGCGCACACGCTTTGCACTTGGTGTCAGAAAGGTTAGCCATCACTGGTTTAGCACAATGATCCTTAACCTTTGTGGATAGGCGGGGATGGGCATGGGAGAGGAAATCGTTATGCGCAAGCGGTGAGCGAGTGTGTGTGGAGCCCCATTTGCATGAGTGGTGGGCACATGTGCCTTCCGCTCAAATGGAGCTGAACCATTCACTCACTACTCATGCAAGTAGAGCTGTGCATTTGCACTTGACCCACCACTTCCATGGCCCGGTTCTGAATGAAAGGCCCAGTAGTGCTCTGTGAGGTTAGGACCCCTGGTTTAGCAGGCTTGATTATAATGTTAGCATTTCCTCTTAGATGCCACGACTCAGTCAGAGTGAATCTCTAGTTCGGATACGTGGCATGATTAGACAGTAATCAGAAGAATGCTCATGAAGAATTGCCACTAGAACACTTAACCTGCATAGCTTGAAGACATCAAGAAAGTTCAGCCGCCTTTTCTAAAGCACTTTTGGGACAACTATAATCAGGATAACTAAGAACCTCCATAAAAGCCCTTGTAAAGCCCAAGTATCAGTTTCCTTCTCCTTTTTCCAGTTTTCTAATTCTTGTTGGTATTTAATATGTGGAAATAGGTAAATCCCCCAAATTTCTCTGTATCAGCCTTAGCAAAAAGAGTCATACTTTCTACAGAGGTGCTATCTTTGGGACCACATTTTTGTTTTTCATAAGTTCCTTGTATGAGGATTTTTGCTTTTAACCAGGATTCAAATCTTGTCAGTTCATAGGCAGATTAAGAAACAGTTCCCTCATTCCTTTGTGTGCCATTTGAGCCAAGCAATGGTTACAGTCTACCCTCTCTTCCACTCTTTCTCCTGGTAGACCTGACCCTTGGAGGAAGTCATCAGGGGAACAAAGTCCTTTCAGTAGAAATATTCCATTTCTCCTTCTTTGCTGTCAGGTTGACAGTTTCTTTGCTGCATGGGATGATATCATGGACCAAAATCAAATTTCTTATAGAAGTTTGCTATTAAAAAAATATCAGAACTGCTACAAAACTGGAAATTTACGTTGTTTGGATAATGTGATTGAACCACAAAGGCAACAGGATTACTGAAAGTGTGAAATTCTTAGATCATTCATTGAGTAGAAACTGCTTTCTCTTATTTTTAAAGCTCTCCCAAAACCCCACCCCACCCCTCCTATTCAGCAAATGTACAACCTGCTCTCTGTCACATAGCAGAAAGTATCCCGAAAGCTGATATTTGTAACATTTAAATATGCTACAGTTATCAAAGGCACATTCACTTATTCTTTCTGGCTTTGTTCTTGTTACTTCTCCATTGTAAAGGATCAATATGATAAATTCTTACTACTTTGAATTTTTTTGCCCTTCCAGAGCTGTTTGATATAGCTTTTTGATCTCTGCTTTTCCCCTTGCATAGAGGAGGCATGTAAAGGGCTGGCATTCTCTCTTTATTATTTCTACTGTTTCTGGGACTTTTTTTCCTTAACTTTCTTTGCACTACAAAGCATATACAGTTAAGAATAAAAGGCAACTATCTCTTACAAGGGGTGCAAGCAAGGGTATTCATTAAGCAAGAATTAAGGAGAACCTTTTACCTCAGTGTATAGTTCCTCCAAATTTAAGTAAAGCGATGTTCCAGTATTTTACTCTGATTTTCTACCTTTCATAGTTAGCATATGTTTGCTGGTTTGATTTGAGCTCCTTGCCTCATAACATTAAGAAGCTCTTATACATTATTCCAATCAATATAGAAATAGTGATCAAATTATCAAGTCATTCTTTTCATGTTGTAGAAGCACAAACGTTTTAAAGTCTTATTTCCTAAAAATCCTAGCCTGTTTTTCCCTTAAATGCTTGCACTAGTGAAAAAGGTGTTCCAGGAAGGAGTGTCTGTTTCCTCATTCCATAGCATAATTCCATGAACTCTGTTGGAGCCACTAGAAAGGCCAGTGAGAATGGTAGCAGGCTTTCCTGTCAGAAGGCAATTTGTAGAGGACTGTAGGTGCCTAGGGACCACTTATCCTTGAGGTGAGTTTTAAAGGGTGCCCAGAGGAATGACTGAAGGGAGTGAGGTCATCACATTCTTGGTGCTAAGATGTAAGCACAAGCTTAGAAGCAGCTGTTTTTCTGACTGATGAGAATTAGGCAAAAATCGTGTGGACAATCCTGCAGAGGCTATCTTTTCATGAGGAAGATGCAGAGTAACAATGTGAATAAATATTTTTAGAGGACCAAATAAAGTTACAATAAAATAGCTGATTTTAAAAAAACTCTTCTAGCTTTTTCACCCCTTCCTTGAAATAAATGGTTTGTCATTGCTTGATTTATTTTTTTCTGCCTTCTTTGAATTATGCACTTTTATCTTTGATTTTTTCCAATATCTGAAAAGCACCTAAACCTGTATTTAAATAGATAAAATGAAAAAAAAAAAACTGCTAAAATGCATCTCTGTAGCCATTGTTATTCACATCATGTCTTCTGTACATCTTAGATTTTCAAACTAGACTGCAATGTCTAAATTGATGACTTTAATTATTTGTTTTGAACTATATTTTGGGGTTTTCATTTGTTCTCTTTGTATATTTCTTCACTGTGGGCTTATACACCCTTTCAAAATCATTTGGCCTTTTTCAATGGGACCATAGAATCAAATGTAGTGCCAGTTCTCTTCTGGTTTATGCCAATTTAAAAATAAAAATATAATTTGTACCTGCTGATTGTTTTGTTCTTCATTTTATGGCATATTTTTATTGTTATAGAATTGGAATTATGCTTTCCCTCTCCCCCTCCCATCCCCCACATTTTCTTTTATAACTTTCAACTGTATCAATAAAAGAAAGAAGTTATTTTATAGCAATAAATTTTACTAAGCCAATTTTAGAGTAAATTTGATAACATTATGGTATTGTTTGTAACACTGAGACAAATGATTATGTGAACAAGTGTTTGATGGTTTGGCTATTAATGTTTATTAATCAAATTCATCTACTCATCTCACAAAAACTACTCTGAACAATATAACAACAACCCATAAATAGCCTATTTCAAACACAACATCCAGGATAGGATTTAACTGACAACTCAAAACAATACAATCAGTATTTGCCTCAGTATTTTGAAGGCCACTAGTTTTATAAAGTAATTTTATGTTAGAAGAACAATTTCAAGATATGCTGGTTTTGCTAATGCACAGTCACAGAATAATAACTAAAGTTTACTAGTGAAATTCAAGAATCTTATCTGATATTCTGGGTTGATTTAGGAAACATGTATTGTTAATCCCTCAGGATCTTGATAGTGCAAATTTTAAAACACCTTAAATTCTGAACTAAAATCTTTGTGCCTACTGTGAGGAAGAACTTGGCAATTCTAAAGACACTAAAAAGCAGCCAAGAAGAAAATGATTTGATTCCTATACATCATTTTGGTGTTTAATTTTAATGTTAAAATTGAATTTTTAATGGGAAAAATATCTTTCTGAATATACATATTTGAACTGATGCAATGTGAGAACTCAGGCACTGTAATTTGTGAGCTACACTGCCCCCAAAAATAAAGGGAACACAAAAATAAGACATCCTAGATCTGAATGAATGAAATATTATTATTAAATACTCTGTTCATTACATAGTTGAATGTGCTGACAACACAATCACACAAAAATTATAAATGGAAATCTAGCAACCCATGGAGGTCTGGATTTGGAGTTACACTCAAAATTAAAGTGGAAAAAAAGACTACAGGCTGATCCAACTTTGATGTAATGTCCTTAAATCAAAATGAGGCTCAGTAGTGTGTGTGTGGCCTCCACGTGCCTGTATGACCTCCCTACAACACCTGGGCATGCTCCTGATGAGATGGCGGATGGTCTCCTGAGGGATCTCCCACACCTGGACTAAAGCATCCCCCCAACCCCTGGACAGTCTGTGGTGCAACGTGGTGTTGGAGGATTGAGCGAGACATGATGTCCCAGATGTGCTCAATTGGATTCAGGTCTGGGGAACGGGTGGGCCAGTCCATAGCATCAATGCCTTCATCTTGCGGGAACTGCTGACACACTCCAGCCACATGAGGTCTAGCATTGTCTTGCATTAGGAGGAACCCAGGGCCAACCACACCAGCATATGGTCTCACAAGGGGTCTGAGGATCTCATCTCGGTACCTAATGGCAGTCAGACTACCTCTGGCGAGCACATGGAGGGCTGTGTGGCCCCCTAAATAATGCCACCCCACACCATTACTGACCCATTGCCAAACCGGTCATGCTGGAGGATGTTGCAGGCAGCAGAACGTTCTCCACGGCGTCTCCAGACCCTGTCATGTCTGTCACGTGTTCAGTGTGAACCTGCTTTCATCTGTGAAGAGCACAGGGCGCCAGTGGCGAATTTGCCAATCTTGGTGTTCTCTGGCAAATGCCAAACGTCCTGCACGGTGCTGGGCTGTAAGCACAACCTCCACCTGTGGACGTCGGGCCCTCATCACCCTCATGGAGTCTGTTTCTGAATGTTTGAGCAGCCACATGCACATTTGTGGCCCGCTGGAGGTCATTTTGCAGGACTCTGGCAGTGCTCCTCCTGTCCCTCCTTGCACAAAGGTGGAGGTAGCAGTCCTGATGCTGGGTTGTTGCCCTCCTACGGCCTCCTCCACATCTCATGTACTGGTCTGTCTTCTGGTAGCACCTCCATGCTCTGGACATTACGCTGACAGACACAGCAAACCTTCTTGCCACAGCTCGCATTGATGTGCCATCCTGGATGAGCTGCACTACCCGAGCCATTTGTGTGGGTTGTAGACTCCATCTCATGCTACCACTAGAGTGAAAGCACCGCCAGCATTCAAAAGTGACCAAACCATCAGCCAGAAAGCATAGGAACTGAGAAGTGGTCTGTGGTCACCACCTGCAGAACCACTCCTTTATTGGGGATGTCTTGCTAACTGCCTATGCTTTCCACCTGTTGTCTATTCCATTTGCACAACAGCATGTGAAATTGATTGTCAATCAGTGTTGCTACCCAAGTGGACAGTTTGACTTCACAGGAGTGTGATTGACTTGGAGTTACATTGTGTTTAGGTGTTCCCTTTATTTTTTTGAACAGCATATAATTTATGGATTAGTATGCCATATCAAGCAATCACAGCTTTAACAAACTGTAGCTAAAATATGGTTTAGAAGTAATGCACAAATCCAGCCTGGGCTGTTTAAAACCATTTTCACACCATGAGTTTTTGATGTGTCAATTCTAATGATGGAATGTGCACTTGCAATGGGGGAAAAGCTTTCACAAGAGATTAAGATTAAGAAATTAAGAGACTCCAGATTAAGAGACTACAGTCCTGAGCTGGAGGAAGGGAGGGAAGAAAGAAGTTCAGGGTAGCCATAGTCTAGAACCGTGATGGCGAACCTATGGCATGCGTGCCACAGGTGGCATGCAGAGCCATTTGTGTGGGCACGCGAGCCCCGGCCAAAATTATCTTCACATGTGCGTGCCTCCCAGCTGATTTTTGGCCCATTTGAGGCCTTTTTTGGCCTCCCAGAGGCTCAAGGGAAGTCTCTACAGCCTTTGGAGGCTGAAAAGTAGTCCCGTTTCATCACTTCTGGCATTTCCGGAAATACCAGAAGTGACAAAATGGGCAAAGTGCAGGTAAGGGGGCAGCAGGGGGGCACGTGCATTGCCTTTTGGGTGCTGGCATGCGAGCGCACACAATTTTCAGCACAGGAACCCAAAAAGGTTAGCCACCACTGCTCTAGAATCTCCCATAATATACTTAATAGATTAGAAGATTATATTTTGGCAAGATTCTATCCCTTAGATGTAAGCAAATAAAGGATTTGACTCAATTTGGTTTTTGCAATGTAGTCCCTCGGCTTGGGCCTGACATTTCTTAAGCTTATGGTGGATTTTCTTTTTTTCAAGAGTGAAAGTAAACTCACATCTCAAATAATTGTATTTTTATCTTTAAAAATGGAAGATTATTATTACTTTGAGTATTACATTATTACCAATATTTTTGTACCTGATAAAAGCCTAGCACTTCATACAGTAACTTAATATAGATATAGGTTATGCAAAAGTCACATTTATCTTAAGGCATTAAAAATAATAAAAATCAAATATTTAATTAAAAATTAAATACTGTCTACACCAGGGGTCCCCAAACTTGGCAACTTTAAGACTTGTGGACTTCAACTCCCAGAATTCTGGAAGTTGAAGTCCACAAGTCTTAAAGTTGCCGAGTTTGGAGACCTCTGATCTACACATACATTCTAGTAATTTACAGTGTCAAACATACATTATTAAATCATAGCATTCCACAAAAACTACAATCCCTTAATAAATACCCACACTCGATGGTCGCCCACAATCAAATGTAAGCCGAGAAGAAGTGCTTTCAACACCAGCATGTTCCACTGTACTAGATGGCCTCTCTGCTTATGGAATGTACATGTGACGCTAAATGGGCCATTTCTAAGATGACCTTCAGAACTGGCAGAATACTAATTGTGGAGTTTGAATCATTTTGCAAATAGTTTTAACAGAATAACTGAGTTGAAAAGTACCTTAGAGGTCTTATAGTCCAACCTCCAGCTCAAGCAAGGAGAACCTATACCATTTTAGACAAATGGTTGCCCAATCTCTTTAAAAACCTCCAGTGATGGAGCACTCATAACTAATGAAGCCATTTCATTGGTTAATAGTTCCAACTGTCCGGAAATTTCTCATTATTTCTAGGTTGCTTCTCTGTGATTAGTTTCCATCCATTGCTTCTTGTTCCTCCTTCAGGTGTTTTGGAAAATAATTTGTGAGTGAGTGAGTGAGTGAGTGAGTAAACTAGCACCACTAGCCTGGCTTACATATTGGGGCCATAGTTAAATTATCCAGTTTTCTGAATAACTAAACAGGGACAACTCATCCATTAGTTAATGTGAGATGTGATCTCAGCCAACACAAAACAGCAAAATGTGTGATAAACAAAATGCCTCTCTCAAAACAAGGAATGATAATCAGATTTTGCTACAATGAGCTGCAACCCCTGTAATTTCTGGTAAAATAAAATTGCCCTTGGAATAGATGGACTCCAGCCCACATATTTAAAGCAAGAGCATACAGCAAGGTGGTAGAAGTTGGTTCTGCTCTGTGTCTACAAATCTACAGCAATCTTGGATTTAACTGGTTTTCCCCACAAAGCAAGGAATTTTCGGAATTTCTGCACACTTTCAGCACCTGTTCATAGCCTCCAATCCCTTAATCATCCTTTTTGCTTTTCTGTGCACCCTTTCTAAAGACTCAACAACTTTTTTATATTGTGGTAATCAAAACTGGATGCAGTATTCCAGGTGTCTTATGAAAACAACATAAAGAAGTAATAACACTTCACATGACCTTGATACCCTCTGCCAGCCTGCGCTTGGAAGACTAGACAAGCAAATGGAGAAATCGTAACTTTAGTAATGATGGAATTAGAAAGGAGCCAAAGCCATCATTAGTTCCCTTTTAATTAACGTGACACCCAGGTAGTTGTATTTCTCACATATAATGCTGGCATGGGGCTACCAGATCTGGGTTGTAAATATCTGGGTTGCCATTAGATGGCAGCAAAGAAATTTCCAGAAATTTCCAATCCTGGAAGCTTGAGCTGATATTATTATGTTACAGGATTTCTTCCACATGCTAAACATGGTAAATTTCTCCATTGTCAGGGAGAATCTTTGCGGGTCTTTTAAGCTAACTATTGATCAGATTCTCCTCATCTAGCTGGGCAGTTCCTGGTGCAGCAGAAACCGAGTAAAAATCAGAAAGGACATACAAGACAGTCCTTGCCACCTTCCCCTGTGCTAGACTTTATCCAGATTGTGGCTGATCTTGAATTTGCATCTTTATAAAATCTGTACTTCACTACATCGATCTGCTTCATCGGGAATCGGCTTTTTGTCCTCTTGAAGAGTGGCTCTGTGTGTGTTCCTTTAGCCTGCAAATCCCTCCCTTTCTCCTTTTTTTTCCTTACTGCAGCATCTCTACATCACTTGCGCCTGCCTATCCCAGCCTCTGATTCCAGCACGGCTACTGCTGTCCTTGCTTCTCTCCATCATCATGCTGGATATATTCATTCTCATGTTTTTTGCCATTATAGGGCTGGTCGTTTTATCATATATCATCTACATGCTGTAACATGTCCAGCCACAACCCCACTGCCACCAACAGCCTGTAAAGGACAGCCAAGCCAGGAAACAGGTTTTTTTTTTTCCCTCTCCCTATTTAATGCAGTTGTTTCAGCAATGATGCAGGTGGGAATTCTCACTCTAGTTCATAACATACTGGGATTTAAAATTGGCATTGGATTTTTCTTTGATGTTTGTGATAGGGAGCGGGGCGGTCAATTGAAATGTTAATATGATTTTTAAAATATGCCTTCTTCAAGATGGATCATGCATCGCTGAGCAAAATGTGTTTCTTTAAACAATATAAATTTCACTTTTGATATGTATACATAACATTAAGGTCTAAAAATCACTCTTTTTCAGCATTTCAGGATGCTTGTTTACCATTGTGCTAGTTCTAGAACAAAAGAAAGAACAAAGGTTAGACAATGTATTCCAGAATTTGCAGGTTTAAGGATTTGAGGGAGAAAGGGATGCTTGTCTTTAACAAATGCCTGAATGCCTGATATCCTTTAGTAAGCCACGCTATTTGTATTTCTATCCATATTTTTCTATTCTCCTTTCTCAGTCTTGCTTCATCTCTTTGTTTTTAAATATAAATTTTCTCCAGACAGGAGCAGCATCCGTGGATTATTTCCATGTTTACATCTCAGCAGCATGGTCTTCCAGAGCATTCTGGAAAAAAGTTAACCCTTGCAAAACTCCCTGACAAAGAGAAGAATGATTTAGCTAAATGCTGAAGCTGTATCCTAAGACTGAGATGGAAGTGCATGGGAAGAACAAGAGGCAAGGAAAATGAAACGAACGAAAGCAGAGATTGAGAACTCCGATGAAATGATTCTAAGACAGTGGAGGGGAAGAATCTGCTTTTTTTAGCGTTTTAAAAAAAAGTTGTTTTTCCTGTATATCTAGATAGACAATCTTCGGTGATTTTAAGTTTTAAAATGCAGGATTCTGAAAGCATCAGATTGCAGAGAAAGGGGTTGGGAGAGCAAGAAGACTGATGTGCCTTCTGAATTACATTTCATGTTTGCCATGCTAAACATTACTACATTTCTCAAGACATAAAAGGCAACTATGTACAGAAATTTCAGGTGTAGCTACAGAACAGATTGCTTGGGGGAGGGGGGAGAAATGCAAGGGAAGGAAATACTATCTAGTAATTACACAGTATTTTCAAAACGTCATACTTATCTCTGTGTGGAAGATCGGGCATATCTAAAAATGCAGCCTCATTCTATGGATCAGCATGTTTATTTTTCTTGCTTTTTTAAAAAACAAAACTTTCCAGAAAATAATTTGTTTATAATTGGTTGTTTTCTCTACTAATATCATCATGCTAAATATGTCACTGCAGAGGAATTAAAAAGCAAACTGTAGCATATTAATAATTTTCACTGTTGTGATGAAACTATAACAATTATTTATGTAATTTTATAATACTGTAAGTAGACCAATTTTCTTTGGAACAAAATATTAATTATATTTCCTATATGAAGCAAGGAAACTTGCCAAAGAAATAAAATAAAAATCCAATTGATATTAGAATCTAAATATGCATTCAAAATATGCAAAGTTTTCCATTTATATCAAAAGATGGAATAGGATGTGGTTTTAATCTGAAAAATAATCTGAAAAATAAGCGGGAGGGGAACATAGTAGGAAATAGTTGTTTTCTTCCCATGTACCCACAAAATAATTTTAGGAAGATTTTAAATGTTGCGAATATTTCTTGAACATTACTTTAAGTGTAGCCTTTTAAGCAACCTAGAAAATTAATTGCTATAAAATGAGAGTGAGGGTGAATGATCTGCCCACCACAGAAACCCCCACCCCACAACCCTTGGAGTTCTAATTAGAGATTTGCATAATTATTCCATTCACTGTAGACATTTCTCCATCCAAAAATCTAGTGCAGTGGTCCCCAACCTTTTTTATGCCGCGGCCCGGTACCGGCATCAGCTGGGCACCGCCATCTTGTTTTGATGACAAAGTGCTTCCGGTGAGCTTTCTACCCGGAAAAGCTCACCGGAAGCACTTTTTCATCAAAACAAGATGGCAGCGCCCAGCAAACCAGTGGCCCGGTAGGATTTGTTCCACGGACCGGTACCGGTCCGCGGACCGGTGGTTGGGGACCCCTGATCTAGTGCAATCCTCAGTTGCCTAAGTTGCTAAAAAAAAACAGGAAAGACTTATGCGCATCTCCTAGTAGAGCTGGACAACTACTGTTTGTGTGCTGTTTGTGCAGTTTCAATTTTTCAAGTACTGAGCTATCAGAGGCAGAACAGAATAACAGAGTTGGAATAACAGACTTTGGGGGTCTTCTACTACAACCTCCTGCTCAAGGAGGACAGCCGATATTATTTCAGACAAATGGCTGCCCAATCTCTTCTTAAAAACCTCCAGTGATGAAGCACCTCCAATTTCTGAAGGCAAGCTGTTCCACTGGTTAATTGTTCTCACTCTTATGAAATTTCTCCTTAGTTCTACGTTGCTTCTCTCCTTGATTAGTTTCCATCCATTGCTTCTTGTCTTGCCTTCTGGTGCTTTGAAGAATAGGTTGTCCCGTCTTCTTGGTGGCAGTCCCTTAAATATTGAAACAATGTTATCAATGTTACATCACTTATAGTCCTTCTTTTCACTAGACTACTCATACACAATTCCTGCAACATTTCTACATATGTTTTAGCTACAATCTCCTAATAATTTTTGTTGCTCCTCTCTGCACTCTTTCCAGAGTGTCAAAAACTTTTTTATATTACGGTGACCAAAACGGGATGCAGTATTTCAAGTGTAGTCTTGCCAAGGCATTATAAAGCGGTACTAACTCTTTACGTAATCTTGATTCTGTCTCTGTTAATGCAGTCTAGGATTGCATTGGCTTTTTTGGTGACTGCAGCAAACTGCTGGCTCATATTGAAGTGTCTGTCCACTAGGACTCCAAAATCCCTGTTGCAGTTACTGCTATTGAGACAGGTTTCACCTTTTCTTGACTAAGTAAAATTTTACTTTTCTCTACATTGAATTTCATTTTGTTAGGACCCAGTGTTCAAGACTGTCAAGATCCTCCTGGATCTTGAGACTATTTTCTGGGCTGTTGTCTATTTCTGTCAGCTTGGTGTTGTCTGCAAATTTGATGTGTTTCCCTTCTATTCCATCATCTAAATCGTTTATGAAAATATGTGCAACTCCACTAAAATGACCAAACAAATCTTTGTAAGTAGAATAAAGGCCTTTGCCCATTGCTACATGTTCTGCCAATTTAAGTATGGTTGCTATCTTTTTTTTATTATTATTAAAATGTCAAATATATATATATACTGGTATAACATTGGCTGTCCTCATTTTTGCTCTTTCATGTTCCTGTTGCCTGTGTTTTGGTTTGTTACCAAATGGAATCTTGCTGCAGAGAAGGGCATATTATATAAAGGGGTTCATTTAACCATCTGGCTTTTCTGTCCTTTCCCATTCTGGGAATTGCTAATTGATGGGAAATATCTACCAATCCTGACAGAATTCACATTTGCATGTTGGGGGTGGGGAGAATAATTTCTTGGGGAGATAGCATGTTTTAATAGGTCACTCAAACTACACTGTCATGTTCCTCCTTTAAGCGTATCACTGTCCACCTAACTCTGCCAGCCCCTTGAGGTAGGTGATTTTGAAGCAGGCATGTTTTGGATCACTTGACTGCAGGCCAAGAGCACAGGAACTGCCATTGGTTACTGTCACCTAAGAGTAAAAACAGGAGATTTAACAGTGGTAGCTAGGGATAATGACACTACCTTGCTAATGGATTGAGGCAACATGATGAGGATGTTATAGAAACTCATCAGAGTAAAGATGGTGGCAGGAGAAGTCTGCATTGCAGCCAAATGCAAGTGGGCATTGGGTTTGCACAGTATGTTTTATAGAGTTGGCTTTATTGAGTAGTTTGTGGCTCAGTAGATGCTGGAATCCAGCTATTGTCCATGCACAAAGGATGAATCAGACAATCTAAGCCAAATATGGCTAATTTGGGAGGCACAGCATAGAACTGTAGGTGTATTCTGTTCACTTGGTTTTGACACTGAATGTGAACCAGACACTGAGTTTATTTATTTAGTCAAATTTATACAGCAATTCATCTGAATAGTGAAGACAAGTGAAATTTGTGACTCATAATAACCAGAGGGACCAAAGCTTTGCTACTTTGTAGACTTATAACGAACAAATCAAATAGTCACCATCATGTGCTAACAGCATGATAAGAACTGAATTTATAGTGTTTTCTCTGCCATCTTACAAGTTACCATGTAGTAGATATAGTGATTCCTACTAGCACATTTATCTAGAAGTTTGCCAAATTATGGTAATCAGAATTAGAATCTTCCAAAGTGTACATACTTCCAAAGTGATGCTGCTTCTGTGTTTTAAATCAACGGTTCCCAGCATGCACATGTGCACAAGTTGAGCTGCACGCACATACACGCTGGCCTGCTGCTTGTGCGAGTCAAGGCCCAGTTCTGAATAGGCCACAACCTGGTAGTGGGCCACAGTCTGGGGGTTAGGATGTTTTAAATATGTAACTGTTTTAAATACCTAAGATATTATTGGTCAAAATACTAGTAATGCTTTTAATTTGTGAATTTTGATCTTCAAAGCAAAAAGAAAGTGAGAACTAACAGGAAAACTCAATAAGAAGCTTCTAATGCATCTATTTTCTGCTGGACTCAGGTTGATGAAGTGCAGGGGTGTCAAACTCGATTTCATTGAGGGCCACATCAGAGTTGTGTTTGACTTTGGGGGGGCAGGGTGGGTGTGGCCAGAGTGGGCGTGGCAGCTTGAGATCACTCGTGTTGGGGGCACCTCTAGTGGCCCAAGTGCTTTGCCAGTGAAAATGGATTCCAAAGCTCTGTTTCCGGCTGCCAAGGCCTCCTGGAACCCTCTGCCAAACACAACCCTCCTGAGCTCTATTTTCACTGGTAGAGGCACTGCAGACCGGTCCCTCAGTATTTTGCAGGGTGGCCCCATGGGCCAGATCTAAGCATTCAATGGGCCACATCCAGCCAACGGGCTGCATCCATCCCACAAGCCTTGAGTTTTTACACCTCTGATGTATTGCTGTAGATAGATAGATGTAGAGGCAAAGAGCCATGTATTCGGGTACAAGTATAATCAGTATTTCTTTTACCATATTTCATTGTTCTACTCTAATACAGATAGATATTTTACTTTTGGTCCCAGATCATGAATATAAAAAAAACATTCCAGAATGATGCCAAAGATGCCAAACGTATGCAGGTGAGAAAGCTGTTGCTGTTCAAATATTGTTGGACTATTTCCCTTCAGTCTTAGTTAGGATGGCCAGGGATAGGAAACACTGGAACCTGAATTTCAAAAAGTCTACAAACTCTCTTCCCCTTTTGTCTGAGAATCCACAATCACATTCCCAATTGTAGATTAGCATATTCCAGGGCACAGAAATGGGCCAAGCCAAAATTTGGCTTCTGCATACTGAAAATTCATTTTTAAGAGAGCCAGTTTGGTGAAATGATGAAGGTGCTGGCCTAGAATCCTGGAGACTTTCGGTTCTAGTCCTATCTTAGGCATGAAAGCCTGGTCTGCTGGATGACTGAGTCAAGTCACTCTTGGCCCAACCCACCTCACAAGGTGATGGTTGTAGGGAAAATAGGAGGGAGCAGTGATACATGTTTGCTGCCTTGAATTACTTATGAAGAAATAAAGGCGGGATAAAGATTAAATAAACACATTCATTTTGATAGATGAAAGGCTAAGTCAATAAAACTCAAAAATGTCTAATTTCTTTAAGTTACTGGCTGCTCTCTTAGCAGTTCCAAGATATTGCTTATTATTTCTCCATGAGCGCGTGGTAAACCCACACCTAGAATTCTGTGCTTTTCTCAAACTTTCTCCATGTGTTAGATTTTTTAACTTTCAGTAACACCACTGGTTATCTCTGGAATAATGGTGGTTTCTTTCATTTTTTTTTCATTGATGATTCTTCAAGGGCTTCAAAAGCTAGGGATTACCATGAATGAGCTAATGGCTTGCACAGTTCAGCCCATTATTAACTTTATCCTTACCTCTTTAGCTCATGCCCTGCCCTTCTCTTTGCATCCTGCCAAAGGTAGCAATTTTCCCTGGCTTGGTACCAACCAAGAGCACATTGTAGGAGGAAAGTTGTGTTTTTCCTTCATGGGCGGCAGCTGACTTCATCAAATACATATAAATGATAAATTAGGACTTTTAATAACGTTCGTTAATCAGAAAAGATGCTACCAGAATCCTGATTGTGTTATTATATTCTTGTATAGCAAGAATATACAAGAAGTGCATTCCTTATTCTGTAATTTTCTTCTTTGTGGATAGATGATTATCAGTTTTAAATGATTCACTGGGGATCCTTATTCTTTTCCTCTATCCATGCAAATCAGGACATTATACTCCTATTTTAGTTTAAGGTTTGTGAAACCTAATTGTCAGCTTAATGATAGATTGACCGACAGTACCCAGGCAAACAGATCCATTTAGCGAATTATTTTAATTTCATATCAGAGGAAGATATTACCCCAAACATATATCATGATAACCTGTTAGACTTATCCAAATACCTATGTGTCCCATAGACATTTGATTAACTAAACTGTTCATATATTAATACTGAGAATATATAGTTAAAATCTTAGCTAAACCTGTGCTCCTCATTCTTTTTTCCTTCCATCAATTATGCCAACAAGCAACTTTGCTCAGACCACAGGAGGAAAGTGCCATTTCCCCCCTGTAAAAATGGCTAGTGGGATCGGTTTAGAGTTGCAGGGGGTGGGGTGGGCATCTGAGTTGCAATTGCTGTATCATCCCTACCATTTAAGTCAGCAATAGAGGACAAATTAAAGGCACCAGAAAGCAAGCACCAGAACTGGCACCAGAAAGCAAGCAAAGGGGTGAATCGGGTAGAACAGGAAGGCCTTTGGGAATTCTATCCATTCCCTTAAAAGCAGGGGGTCACACGAGGGGAAGGACTTAAGAGCAGTTTTCCCCCCCTTCTTTTTTGCAGCTGAACTTAGCCCATTTTCAAATTCAATTTTGTTTTGTCAAATTCTCTCACCACACCAAATACACCCATTCCGTTTTCAGAGAGTTACTGTGCTGAATGGACTGGCAGACTCCCAAGGTCCTTTTCGCAACGTTGTGCAAATGTGCATCTCTGGCAAGTCCACAGGAGGCGTTCCCACTGTCTTTTGCTCTTTGCTGGCCTGAGCTGAGCCAAGCCAGACACAGGAAGGATCATTTCCTCAGGCCTAAAGTCTTCCTTCCTCACCTCCCCACCTCCACCCCACCCAAGTGACATGCAGGCCTTTGGACCTGAAGCTCTTAGGGGAAATCTCCTTTTCAGAGGCCAATGCACGAAGCTTCATTTAATGTTTTAGTAGCAAGCCAAAGGGGCTACCCTTTTCAGCATCTTTCTTTGCTGCGCTGAACATGACCTGGACTTTGGCTTCAATGTTTTTTCTGGGATGGTCTCACTGCCCCTCGGGATTGTTCTGCTAACTGCTTTATTATTGCTAGGTCCTTGATTATGCATTCTTCAAACTTTTTGTTTTATGTAATTTAATATCTTACCATTTTCTATGCAATCCCACCAGACATTGTGTCTTCCCCAATCACAAATAATACACTTAAAAACAATACTTAGTAAAAACTCTTTAATGAAATGAATAGAATAACAGAGTCGGAAGGGACCTAGTCCAACTCCCAGCTCAGGCAGGAAACCCTATAGCCGTGATGGCGAACCTATGACACGCATGCCACAGGTGGCACACAGAGCCATTTGTGCCGGCACGTGAGCTGCAGGCAAACTTACCTCACTGCATGTGCGCCATTCACAGCTGGTTTTCAGCGGGTTTAAGGTCTTTTTTGGCCTCCCAGAGGCTTGAGGAAGGCTTCTGCAGGCTTTGCAGCCCAAAAACTAGGCCCGTTTCATCACTTCCTGTTTTTTCCGAAAATACCAGAAGTGATGAAATGGGGCTAGTTTTCAGCCTGGGAAAGCTGCAGAAACCTTTCTCAAGCCTCTGGGAGGCCTAAAAAGGCCTCAAACCCGACGAAAATCAGCTGTGAGGTGCAATGCAGGTAAGGGGGCGGTGGAGGTGGTGGGTGGGGGATTGCACACACATGCCTAGGGGGTGTGGGAGGGTACGCATTGCCTTCTGGGTGCTGGTGCGTGAGCGCGAGTGTGCAAGCACGTGCACAATTTTTGGCACAGGAGCCCAAAAAGGTTAGCCACCACTGCCTGCCCTCTAGCATTTCAGACAAATGGTTGTCCAATCTCTTGTTAAAAACTTCCAGGAGCATTCACAACTTCTGAAGGCAAGTTGTTCCATTGATTAATTGTTCTAACTATCAGGAAATTTCTCCTTAGTTCTAGGTTGCTGATTCATAAGAAGAGATGAATAGAGATGGTTCATAAATAGCAATATTATCTGAGATTTATACTGTATCCCTGTGTATGTATGATTATTTATATAATAGTTTGTTAAAAATAAATTGATCTTGAAATATATTTTGATATTCAATCCTTGAATGTTTTCACTTCACTAAAGCATTTAAACAAATGTAAACTGACCAGTAATTCAAAGTCAGAATATTTGCAAGTTCTTTCAAAGCTTTTAATGGAAAACAGAACACAATTTTCCCAATAACTGATGCAATGATATTTAACCCAAACTGTATAATTGGGTCAAAAAAGTAGTTCTGTTTGAGAGAGAGCTTCAGTTAAAGTACTACAGTCAGAATGCAAGCAGGGTGGGTTTAAAAGAATTTATTTCACACTATTATCCTTGCTAGACCAAAAATAAAGGATATGTTTTACTTGGTTTCATTAATAATAATGATCATCAAAAGTCAAAACTCTAAGAATCACAAGATAATATGAGGAATCCTTACATCGTAAAAGTGTTCTGTACGTTTTTGTTAGTTTTCTTCTAAATTGGTGTTATTAGCCTCTTCTGGGATTTATCTGCAATTTATTTTTATTTTAGCATTGATTACGCAGTTGTTTTAATTGCTGTAATTTATAAATTTTATTATGGGCTATTATACTATTTTATGTTGTTTACTCTATTGGATGTTATTCTTGTAAGCAACCAGGTTATTGTTTTAAAAATGTCCTTGAAATATTTTAAGTAAAGAAGTGACTTATTGTAGAGACCACAGAGAACCCTTTAGAATGCAGGAACTATTCACAAACTTTGCTATAGCACTTGGCTATCTGTCACTCACCTAAGACTACAACACTGTGTACAGAGGACCAAAACACCTGATTTTGATTGGAAGCCTGCCAGAGTTTGGGATGAGAAGCTACACAAATGTTTAAATAAAATACAGGTAGTCCTCAACTTACAACAGTTCATTTAGTGACCATTCAAAGTTACAATGGCACTGGAGTAACTTATGACTTTTTCACACTTACGGCCCCATCCATGGTCACGTTGGGTGCTTAGCAACTGGTTCATGTTTATGACAATAGCAGTGTCTTGGCGTTATGTGATCCCCTTTTGTGACTTCTGACAAGCAAAGTCAATGAGGAAGTCAGATTCACTTAACAACCAGTAACTTAACAATTGGAGTGTGGCAAGAAAAGCCTTAAAATGGGGCAAAACTCACTGAACAAATGTCTCATTTAGTAACATAAATTTTGGGCTCAATCATGTTGAGGACTACATGTATATAAATAAAATTTCTTTTCTTACTAATGAAATTATATACTGAGCCTTAAGCGATTGACAGCAGGGTTCTGTGGGAATTAGACATAAACTGAACTGAACCAGATCTTTAATTATGTGTCTTCATTTTAATAAATCTAAAGTTAAAGAAATACTTTAAAGCACTTCCTCCTTTCTTGACAAGAAATGAATATGTTACTCCCAAAGAACTGTGGAAATTATTCTAAACCACAGTTTTTACAGCACAAAGGTAAACTTTGCAAGTGAGCTGCTCAAAGGAAATCCCCTGAAGTTATGAACAGCTAGAAGTTACAGTGGCTTTAGTTTGTTTGAAGCAGATCATTTTTGTGTGGAAATATACCTACTGGCCGAAATCCAGAGAAACACTGCAAGGTAGCAAAGAGGTTTAAAAATACTGTGATAACTTGCTGCTATCTAGTGGCTATGTGGATTTTTGCAGGCCACATCTGATATTGTATACTATAAAATCTAAAATTTCTAGCAGCTTTCTCCATTCTAGTACTGTCCAAATACTGTATAGTGTATAATGAATTACAACAATCATTATTAGCTACAATTTCTGTATTAATGGGAACACAAATCCTCAACAGCTAGGATACATAGTTAGGAAAGAATGGATTAGTCGGTACACACCTTTGAGGCCTACCCTAGCAGCCAAAGGCAAATAATCATATGTCCAGTTTTTCCACCTTCCAACTAAATAAAATCTGGCTATTTTGATGATTTGCATTATTTTGATTCACAAGCCCATAGATTATTGCTTTCTTCATCAGAATTGGATTCCGTATTCTGCCCCAGTCTCTGCATATGTTTTTCTTGTTTGCAAGTCTTTGTGTGTTATACGTTAAACTACTCACCTCAGCAAATGTGCAAAATTTATAATAAATAAATCTTGATGCTATAATATAATTGATCAAGCCCAATGAAAAGTACATTTAGAAAGCAGATCAGAATGTTTGCAGCCATACATGGAGATAAAAAGGATAACAGGCAAAGTAATTTGTTTTATTCTTGACTATTTTTTCCAAATTCATAGTCCTCAAAAAAAAAAAATTACATTTCGTAATTCATGGTTAAATAAAGGATTTCTTTATGAAAATTTGCTTGTGCGTTGACCAGATGAAAAAGATATAAAAAAACAGTCTCTTCATCATCATGCTCTCCTAAGGGAAAAAAAAAAAAGGCTGAATAAACAATACACATTTTTATTCAACAAAGATATTGTTTAGCTTGTAAAATGCCAAGCTAACAGATAACATTTTATTTCATCAATATATTTCATCTATATTTCATCAACAAATCATCAAGAGTCATGCTTGACTCAAGAGAACTTTTACCTTATGTATGAATGATTTGTAATTAAATATGGATCATACTTACGTTTCTTGGAAGCATTTTTAAAAATTAGTTATGCTCTGATTCTATTTGTTTAGATGACATTGGTTGTATTTATTGTAAATATGTAAGATTTGTTAGATAAGGTAAAAACTCATTCAGTGTTTCATATGGTCATAGTAATCTGTGAGCAGTCATATTATTTTTCATTTCTAAATTTTCTAATATGACATGTAGAAAAACATGTATTATACTTCAGCCACATGAATGTTCATCAGAATTAATCAGAAATAAAGCCATAGCAATAGCACTTAGACTTATATAATGCTTCACAGTGCATTAAAGCTCTTTCTAAGTGGTTTACAGAGTGGTTTACATATTACCCCCAACAATCTGGTCCTCATTTGATCCACCTCTGAAGGATGGAAGGCTGAGTCAACCTCGAGCCAATGAGACTCGAACTGCCAAACTGCAGGCAGTCGGCAGTCAGCAGAAGTAGCCTGCAGTACTGCATTCTAAGCATTGAGCCAACAAGGCTCTTAAACCTAAAATATATATATATAATCTGTTTTTTTTTTAGAGAAATACTGATAGATTTATATTTTAAAGTACAGTATGCATATTTTTGCATATTTCACACACACACACACACACACACAGTGTGTGTGTGTGTGTGTGTGTAAGAAAATCTGTTCCGGAAGGAAACTGCATAGATCAAAGGCACATCATTTTAGTAATTGTACTATGGCCAAATTATGTGAATATACATTTTGAAAATTCAACTGAAAATAGGAAATGAGATGAATTAGGCTATTGTCTCAGATAGCATCCTCTTTCTTATGGCATAGGGGTGTTTTTTTTGACAGGATCAAAGAAATTAAACCAGTGCTTCCCAAACCTTTTCATTCAGTATCCCAAACCATTTATCTGAAAGTCCTTTTTATTCACTCTAGATAAAATACTTTAAGTCAGTTTAAATATCCCTGTTGACATTGAGTAATGGGTTCATGTGTTGTTATCCAAAGAAAAAGAACTTTTACCCAATGTTGGGCAATTTATCCAGGTTTGGGAAGTAGTGCATTGAGTCTTTACTGTACTTGTCTTTCAGTGTGGTTTTAATCCTAACCTCTTTACCCATAAGATCTATTCTTCCTAAAAGCAGAATGTAATTATATTTATTGTTACATAAATATAATTGACTATTGGTATGTATGTGTGTGTATGTGTGTATCCACATGTGTGTATCAACACACCCACACACATACTTCCTAGAAGATTCAGATAATCAAGATTAATCAAGATCCTAAGTTGTACTAACAGATGGATACAATCAAGATCAAGGGAGATACTAATACCACTCTATAAAGCCTTAGTAAGACCACACTAGAATACTGCATCCAGTTTTGTTCACCACATTACAAAAAAGATGTTGAGACTCTAGAAAAAGTACAGAGAAGAGCAACCAGGATGATTAGGGGACTGGAGGCTAAAACATGTAACGAACGGTTGCAGGAACTGGGCTTGACTAGTCCAGTAAAGAGAAGGACCAGGGGAGACATGATAGCACTGTTCCAGTATTTGAGGGGCTGCCAAAGAGAGGAAGGGGTCAAGCTATTTTCTAAAGCGCCTGTAGGCCAGACAAGGATTAATGGGTGGAAACTGAACAAGGAGAGATTTAACCTGGAAATAAGGAGAAACCTTCTGACAGTGAGAACAATCAACCAATGGAACACCTTAACCTCGGAAGTTGTGGGAGCGCCATCACTTGAGACTTTCAAGAAGAGATTGGACTCCCATCTGTCAGAAATGGTGTAGGGTCTCCTGCTTGGGCAGGGGGTTGGACTAGATGACCTACAAGGTCCCTTCCAACTCTGATTATCTGTTATCTGTTATTAAGGTGCGATTATAGTAAGGTAAGTATTATAATTGGATTTCTTACCAGATATCACAAACTGTAGAGCATCCATGATCATTTGTGCAAAAGTATTCTCTATATTCTGCAAAAAAACATTCTTTTCATGTGCACTATTGATGATATTGCAGACTTTTTGCATTGTCTGTACAGCCCAGTCCATGCAATAGATGTCCTTCTCGCATACCTAGTAGAACAGAAAATTGAAGAAAGTGAAACGTCCTTAATGATAAAAGAACAGTCCTTTGTTTCTATCCTGTGCTTTCAAATCCAAAATAATTCTATGAGTTTTGGGTTGAAAGACACACACACAAACACGCATATGTAAATATAGTAATAGCAGCTTTCCTAGGGCTTAAATTTTTAAATTTAAATAATTCTTTGCAAATAGAGTCACAATATAGGCTTGCTTGATAGTTGAGCCCCCTCTTCCTTCTATCAAATACTATTATAATTGCCACCTGGTCAGCATAATTTCGAGGTAATTTTAAACTAATGGCATTTTATCCATGTATAAGGAAATGTTATATCAAGGTAGTAAATACAGTATCATAAATAGTAACATACAGTATTATTGTTCGGTACTTAAAATGTCTATTGGAAGAGCTAACTTATGCCACTTCCTGAGGTTTCACTATAACAGCGGTAGCATTGCTAGGAAAAGAAAGCTTGATTTCTGGAATAACAGCATTAATAGTTTGGAAGACACACACTAAATATTTGGAGACACAGAGAGTCGAGAATTATTCCATTATTTTGTGGACAATAATGGGAGGAGTATATGCCACCTTGAGCTTCTAAGGAAAAACGGTGTGCAAGCTAGCAAAACATTTTTTTTAAATCCCTGTCTCTGGTGAAATGGAGAGGGATATGAGGCTACATACAGACTTAGCGTAATGGGAGAAGGCAGAGTTACTGATGCTGATTGGTTGATAGTTTTTTTGTGTTTGGCTATTGGTGGTCTAAAATGCTAAGTGTTAATTGACTTGAGGTGTTTTCTAAGAACTATAGACTGACAAGCATATAAGTGTACTGTCTCTTAGTATCCTCCTGCCCAAATATATCTGATGGAAATTACATATGTTAGTCTTGGATGGACTGGAGGAGACATGTAGCAAATAGTGCCTGTTGACTGATTATGTGCCATCAAGCCAGTCTTGACTTTTAGTGACCACATAGATTCCCCCCCACCAAAATGATCTGTCCCTAACCTGGCCTTTCATATCTTCCAACAGTGCACTCATCACCATAGGCTGAGTGTGTGTGTGTGTGTGTGTGTGTGTGTGTGTGTGTGTGTAGAAAAATGGTTGCTTTCACTTAGACATAGGAAGGCAAGGTAAACCAAGAGTTCCTTAAAGACATTTTCATGGTAGCTTTGCTAAGTCACATTAACAAGTGCCAACTTTCAAATAAATTTTCTCATCCCAGCCTCCGAAACAAATCAGCTTAGTTCCCCAAACCAGTAGATATCAGGAGGTCAGGCAAGTTCAGAGCTGATTTCGAATTGGTGCAAAAAACAACAACAACTCCTCTCCCAGAGAAATGCTCTCAGCTGTTACAATAAATTCATTCTACTTAATATACACATAAAGAGCTTAAGTTAAAACATTTCTCTTTTCCTGTGCAGTAATTAAAGATATGGGATTCCTGCAGTCCTCCTACATGGCTCACAAGCTGAGAAAAAGCAAGAAGATGGCCATGTACTATGTATCAATGTATGATGCTAATATTAATATACTGTAAAGTACTCTAATAAATATAATGCAGGCAAACAAGGGCACTTTGAGACATCTGATGCCTCGAGTTAGATATACTGGTCCTGCCTGCCTGACTACTATCAGGCCAAGAAGCTAGATAAGCTTAGCAAAAATCCCAATTGCCCCATTCCTTCAAGGACTGTTGTAATGAAAGTTTAATGAAAATGCTTTCCCTGTTCACATATAAAGTGATATTATACAAGTAGCAATAAAAGAATTGCATTTATGCACCTGCTGCCATAGAAACACTCCTAAAGCAAGGTAGCAAGTTTGAAGTATTTTCAGACATATATTAATTTGTCTTTCTAAAATGTTATTTTGGTTAGTTAATTTTAGTGAATTGCCTGAAACTGCTAAGGAAGAACTGGTATCTAAGGGCCAAATTAAATAAGACATTGAATATGTCATTGTGCTGAACACATTTAAGGCTTTAATCATGTTTAAAGAACACTGGGGAGAGGATCCAGATTAAAAACACATGAGAATTTAAATCCTGATTAAAAATGATTTCACACAAAATTGTTATTGGCTCTGAAACTAAACTACTTTTATTGAAAATGACAGTTTTCTCTACAGCTCAAATTATAATTCTCTCTCTCCCCCCCCACTCCCCTTGGAAATGGAAGATTTTCATTTAAATTGTGTGGAGCAAAGAAAATAAACTAAAATAGAAAAGAAAGAAAAAAGAGTCAGGTTCTAAACATTGTTTTCTCATCCCGATTCTTCTCAATCACAGCAGTTACACTTTCACAGAAATGTACAAGATACGTTAAATGCATCAGGGGTGGGATTCTACCAGTTTGCACCTATTCGGTAGAACCGGTTGTTAACATTCTAAGCAGTTTGCAGAACCCGTTGTTGGAAGAAATTACTGGCCTAATCCTGTAAGGAAGGCAGGAAAGGAAAGATTCTGGTGTTGCTTACGGAAACTGCTTCTCCATTAACCCTTATTACATTCTTGGCTGGACTAGACTTCCTGTCTCTGGAACCTCTCTGGAGGTTTTTCCCCCTCCTTTGCTGGTACTTTGCTTGTGTGGAGTGACCATTCAAAGTTACAATGGCAATGAAAAAAGTGACTTATGACCATTTTTCACACTTACGACTGTTGCAACATCCCCACAGTCATGAGAGGCCAGGGGAGGAGATACGTGCCTTGATGTGAGTGATATTGAGTTGGCCATGCCCAGACAATAACATGACCACCAAGCCATGCCCACCAACTTAGCCACGCCCACAGAACCGGTTGTTAAAAAAATTGAATCCCACCCCTGAAATGCAGTCACTTATTTTGTGCAAATGTGGTCAATTCATAACAGAGAAGAGAATAGTACACAGGGAGGGAAAAATAAATGTTAATTACCAATGCCAGGAATACCACCAGCCTTGCCAATTCCATAGCTTGGCCATTCACAGCTTTATTCACCATAAAAGAGACGCAGATGTTGCTTTCACACAAAATAAGGAACCGAGCAATGTTTTCAAGATGCCATTCCTGAGGGATTACTATAAAGATAGAAAGAAATATTTTATATATACACAAGCACAAACATAAATACCACAGACACATATGGTAGTCACACATGCATGCTCAACTTTTAACTTTACTTTTCTTACATTTGAAAATATTATATTTAAAAATAGGCAGAATACAACAATTTATCTAGTCCACACGATCAACAGTAAAAAATATTCAACAATATAAACTACTTCGGATTTTTTAAAGCAGTTGAGTGATAAAACTATAGTACTTTTAAGATTTAGCTTGTGTGCATTTTAGTTGATAATGCAATGAGCAAGAGTACTTAGGACTATGAGAGTTTAGCCATTTGCTCTTTAAAACCAGGTCTTTCATGTTAAAGTGGCTGGAAGGTGTTAGATAAAGGGTTCTAGCAGTGGTTAATTCTCCTTTGAGTGAGAGGTTTTTCTTTTATCTCTTAAGAAGACCTTGGTTTACCCCTTCCTGTAGACCCCACCATACTGGACAATTTACCTCCATTATCTAACCATCCCTTTCAGAGGAAAGTGGTCAAATCAGGGGTTATACAACATGGTCAGATGACCATGGATGAGGCAGATTATCTGAGCCCTTTTCAGTCAGGATTCAGACCTGGGTATGGGATGCAAATGGCATCGGTCACACTTATGTTTGACCTCTGCCAAGGGTGGGATGGATTTGGGCATCCAGCTCGCCTTACTTGACCTCTCAGTGATTTTTAACACTACCAACCATGGTATCCCTCTGGAACCATGGTCAGAGGATTTGGGGTCAGTGGCACAGGGTTATGCTGCTTTCCCCACTTTCTCTGGGATCAATTCCAGTCAGCGATGATTTGGGAGAGAGGGGCCACCCTTAGCCTCTACTTTCTACTGTAGGTGTTGCTGTAGGATTCAGTGCTGTCTCCTCTTCTATTTAACATATACAAGACACTGCTGGGTAAGTTCATCCTTTGTTATTGGGTGAGGCATCAGTACCATGTAGAAATTCAGTCTCTGCCTCTGGCGAATTATGCAGTGCTGTAAATCCCAGGAGGTTGTGAGGATTTGCATAGGAAACAACAGGCTTCAGCTAAACTCAGGTAAGGCTGAGTGGCTTTGGATGTGAGGGCCTACCGGTTCTCAAATTTGCCATCTTTAATGCTGGATGGGGTTGCACTGCCCCAGAAAGAGCCAGTGTGCAGTCTGAGGATCCTCCTTGACTCATGACTTCTGCTCAAACAACGTCCTGTTGTGCTCCACTTGCCCCTGTTCCTAGATTGACAGGCTCTGCTGACAGTCACCCAAGCCCTAGTCACACCCAGACTGAATTGCTGTAATGTACTATATGTGAGGCTGCCCTTGAAGAATATCCAGAAGTGTAACTGGTGCGGAACAGATAGAACAGAACATATCGTGCCTCTGCTCCATGAGCTGCATTGGCTGCCATTTTGCTTCTGGATCTAATTCAAGATAGGTTTTAACCTTTGAAGCCTTCATGGCATGAGGCCAGGTATTCTGAGGAACTGCCTCTCCCTGATTAAATCAGTGTCCCATTAGTTCTGGCACAAAGGATATTTGGTGGGTACCATCATTACATTTGATGTTTCCTAGGAGGTGGGTCTTCTCTATTGGGGCACAACCTTATGGAACATTCTCTCAACCCTCCCTCCAAGCCAGGTTAGCTCCATTCCTGTTAATCTTCTGGAAAATCACAGTCACTGTCATGCGATCACTTCACTTAACAACAACTAGTCCCAGTTATGGTTGAAACACAAGGACTGGATGGTATCTTGGATTCAAGTATGCAAACAAACCTGTAAGCTGCTCTAGCAGCATGACAACATCATTCTCCAGCGACTCATTTGCAAGAGTGTAATGTAATAGTTTAACAGCCTCTGCAAGCTCTTTCAAACTGTTTTCATCTGCTTCGTGTTGAATCATATTCTGCCAAGCAACATATCCTGAATGATATTAAGCATAAAAGTTATTGAAGGAGAATTTGTATTGAGATATCAATTACTGGTACTATTTCTTGAGGTTTAAAGAAAGACAATTCTAGATTCAGCAATTAATAATTGCTATCTTGCTAGAAAATCATTAGCAGGATTGCACCTGATTTTCTGCATGCTTAATATGTCACTTCTTTTCCTTCCTTTCAGACTCTTATATGAATACTTCTGTTTTATTAATTAAAATAGCTTACCATCCAGTGTAGATACAGGCCCAAATATTAGATACAGCAGCCGAGCTTGATTTACCATTGGCCATGGATTCAAAATACACCTGAGCCAAAATGCTGAATCATTCCGATCAATCCAATGGTTTAGAAATACACCACGGCAAAATGTCCTTATCCTCAGTTCCAATTTACGGAAGCGTCCTAGACAAATTAATAGCCTTTAGCCTTTAGTCTGCATTTAGAGTTTTCTAATGTTAAAACCCTGTATATAGTGTGAAAAATAATTATTTTGGATGGCACTGTTGCAAGTTTAAAGTCAGTAGTCACTATTGCTTTTAAGTTACTACGGTGTCACAAGATATAAAAGTCCAAATTTATAACATGCTCACAGCATAGATTATTTACCAGGCTTGCTGTTGAAAACTTTCTCCATTTTCTGAGGTAAATTGGTGACTTCACAGAGAAAACTGTAAACTCGATGACATTCACATTCATCCCAACCAGCTGTTAAGGTCTGAAAACATACATAATAAGCCAACAGAAATATAAAAAAACCAATATTTTAGAGTTTGAAGATTTTTATGATTCAACTGTTTTATTTACCCTTTTTGTAATGTAAAATTTGATAAAGGTAGCCAGTGACAAAGTGCAGATGATTTATCTTGGGATACAGAGACAGTCCTCCAAATAATGTCCTGCAATGTGTTTTACCCAACTTTGAACAGAATGAAACTTCAGAACGTATAGCCATAGAATAAAGGTTATATAGAATGCAGTAATGAACTCTAAGGTACAAAATCTTATGCCATAATAAATACATTTATTTTCAGAGCATTACAAAACTTTCAATTGCTTTTACCTGTAAAAATACTCCATAACATTGTAATCCGAAACAATGCAAAGGATCTGAGCAGCCATTGAATTTGAAACAGGAAATCTATAAACAAGCGGTAGAAAAAAGGAATCCTTCAATTTACTTATTTCAATGGATATAGAAATTAACAGATCCAATATTTATTGGAAAACATCTGTGCTTACTTCTGATAGAATTTTGTGTATGTACTTCAGTCTCTCTTTTGTAGGGCGCAGTAAAGTACACCTTTTAAACAATAAGCCTAGAAAGAAAAAACAGAAAAACCACACAGAGATATTTGAAAAGAAATGTTCATGTGAACATGCTCTTCAAAATCTATAAACTATATTGAGTTAAGAACCAGGAACCACAGGACATTAGTTACTTATTGTACTATTTATTTATTTTTGTTTGTTTGTTTGTTTGTTTGTTTGTTTCAGTGGCATAGCAATCTAATTTTACCTTTATCCCAAGATCCATGTGGTTTTTTTTCATTTCTAAACTATAATTTACATAACTATAATACTTCTGCTTTCCATAGAGCACTAACAAATAGCTAATACTTCCTCTTTCAACCAACACAATTCCATAATGTTTAAAAGAAGAAAGCAAGCATGCATATGAACTCAACCTAGCCTTGTTTGTGATTGGCAATTTCCACGGTCTGTTTCATTTAAAGGAGGGAAGTGAGTACTTTAGGTAGGAGGATGGGATAGAGATGCCATTGGTTGTTCATTAACTGGTCAGCATCACCCTCCATGTAGATAACATATTTTGTTGGCCTGCTGAAAAATATAAGGTATAGTGTTGAAAATGAAGAATATAAATCATTATGTCAACAAGATATCATATAGCTACAGCGAAGGCTGTGTTTTGTCAAAGTTTGGTTTTGTGAAAAGGCTCAGAGTGAAAAGACTGCTGCTGCAGATAAATGGAAAGAGAAGCAGGGGGAGAAAAACAGTGACCAAGACAGAATAAGTTGCATGGAACAGAAGAAGAAAAAGAAGCTATAGTAACTGGGAGCAAAAATGCATCCAGAGAGATATATTGGCATGATTATAATAATGGTATGGAAATATTACTTGGCGAAGGCTCCATACATTTTGTAAAGCAGTACATTTTTCAGATTTCTATTCTCATTACACACACACACACACACACACAAAATAAATAGGGGTGCTGCAGGGGAGAAGTTTACTCTCCTGTTATATTTAACTACTGCAGTTCCCTTTTCCTGTTCTGTTTGCCCCAGAGTAGAATTCAGACATAAATTTGAAAAGATAAATATACATTTGAAATTTCACAGGGGGAAAGAGCACTTAGAGTATTACAGCAAAACACAGAGACATGGGAAGACATAGTTAATTTTCTCATTGTTTTACCTACACTGTCAGTGATATTTTCACAGACTCCAAACCTACTGATCATAAAAAAATATCAGTTCATAATACAAATACAAAACAAACAAAATCCCACAGAGCAGTTGGGAGAAATTACAATTCCTTTCCTGTTATAAATGTATTTTCTAAGAAATTATTTCTTATATTTATGGTCAAGTTAATTTTTGTTCACTATATTAATCTATATACTGATTTGATATGCACATGAATTTACTACAATGAAACATTTTTCCTATCCTGCAGTGTTAATATTCTGTTAATTGAAAGGATGCAATTTGAAGCTGAGCATTCTTCAATTAGCTGAGATTTATACATCTAAATATGTTTTTCTATCTGCTTCCTGTTTTGGAATATCTGAAAAAGATGAGGCTTTGATCACCTAATGATCCATAGTGTTCCAGAATGGAGGATCTTGTACAGTCAGATAGTTCATGGTTATGGAAATCCCGTGGAAAAAGTCTCTTATTTCCAGGAGGAGATGAGATGTAATTAATAACACAGCTGTTGATAATCTTCGATGTCATGCTCATCATACTGATATCTTTCACTGAATAAAGAAAAAAAAAGAAAAGTAATCGTTAAGTTTTATTCATTCAGTGGTTCTTTTTCTTTCAATCACCAGACAAGTTTGGGACTGCTCTTATGCCAAAATAGGCATGTGGTCATTCAAATAACTGTGTATGCAAGATCTTTTCAACCGTGTATGCAAGATCTCAAATGACATATATAGGAAGCCACATTTTTTTCCCCAAAAGATTAAATCTTATGTTAATAACAAAATCTTTCATTTTTTGATATTCCTATGAGATTTCAAGTAAGATTTCTTATGAGCAATATTTATAAAAAAGGACAGGGCCAATATAAAAAAATAAATTAATGTAATCAAATTAATTGCCCCATTTACAAATGTAGTTCATCTCCATCTGCATATACCAACCATTCTTTCTCTCATATATAAGTTATATCTTTGTTTTCTTAATAAATTTTCTTAATAAAAAAATTCTCAAACACAGAAACATACAAGAACATAGGAGTCTATGGGCAAGTGACAAAATATAACATAATGTTTGATCCTTAGGTACTTGTGTGCAACAGCACAACACAAATACAATAGGGCTGAGCTTGCATCATGATGTCACATTTTATTATTTTTGTGTCATTGTGTGTAACAGCAGCCACTTAAACATCCTTACAGCAGAAACAATAAATAAAGAAGAGGAACTTGATGGAGGTGAAGTAATGGAAGGAGGAAGAATAATCGAGATAGGATTGGAGAAAGAGAATAGGATAGTTATTTATTATTACAAAACAATTAAAATTCACCAGGCAAACCGCCTCTTCCAAGCCAAATTTTCAAATGGATTCAAGCTTTGCATTATCTACAATTTGATGTTTGTTCATTTCAACAGTTTCCTGTATTATCAGCTTGGGAACCACTGCTTTAAGAAAACCCTGAGGAAATTGTTTAAGAAAACTCAAATTACCATATATGGATTTTCACACTCCATCCCTCTGTGATTCCATATTGTCTTTTTTGATGAACAGTTGAGCCAATTTAATTCTGTCTAATTAACAAATAGCTCCTAAACTGAGTTAATTGGCGGTTTTGGAGTTAATTCAAATACAAGAGATTGCTTTCTATCTCCTCACACATTACAGCCTAAGTATTTTTTCCATGTCATCAAGCTTATTTTTAAGGCTGTGCAGTACTTGTTATTGAAAGAGTGCTAGGAAGCATTTGAAGAGCGCTACACAGGCCTACCTCTCCCACCCCAACAGAAATCCATTTGGATTTAAAAGAGGCATTTCTTTGTTGGATGTGAATTTTAGTTGCTGAATTTCCTAAGACAGAAGCAAACAATTTATGTAACTAAAAAGAGAATAAACAGAAAGAAAATGAAGGTGTACAAATATATTTACAACCAGTAATTCTAATGGGTGCCTGGGGTGATTTCAGCCTTTCACTCTGTATGTGCTGAAAAATAAAGGCTATCAGTAGCAGTACTAATAACAGTCTAATTTTTCCTGTTTTGCAATCCTTCAAGAAGTCTGCCTATTTTTTAAGAACACGTTTTAAAACATTTAATGCAATATATTTTGAAGGAATAATTTTATGTGGGAGCCGTGTGGCATGAGAGGCAATGGTATTCATTGCCCTGAGAACATGTGGTTCAATGTTTCTTCCACAATTTTTTTTTTATCTTATTTTCCCCAACTGGTTCCAATGGGACTGAAAATAAATACACCAACTTCAAGTATAAAGAATCCTCTGAAGAACTTTGAATATAATGGTTCTCTAAAGTGTATCATGGTCAGTCACAAACCATGTCTCTCGGATACAACTTTTTCACACTGATATTTATCAAAATAGTGATTGTGGAATAGCTACGCTTCCAGTTAAAAGAGCTTTCACAGATAGAATAATAGAATAACAGAGTTGGAAGGGACCTTGGAAGTCATCTAGTCCAACCCCTTGCTCGAGCAGGAGAGTCTATTCCAAATATTAGCCTCTACCTAGGATCAAACTTACAGCCTCCTGATTGTGAGGCAAGAGCTCCACCTCTAGGCCACCAGAGTTTTTCTCCAGCCAAAGAAAGGGAGGTTAAAAAATCCTATAACTTCTTAATTGTCCTTTCAGTTCAGGGGTGGGATTCTATCTGTTCGGACCAGTTCTATAGAACCAGTTGTTATGATTCTGTGCAGTTTGGAGAACTGGCAAATCATGCCCCTGGCTGGCCCCGCCCCTCTCTGTCTGCCCCTCCCCTCCTTGCCCAGTCAGTCCTTATCACGCATGCGCCACGTCACGCGTATGCCCGACATTGCTGACTGTATTCTCCCTCACCCAGTTACTCATTAAGGTATTTCTTTTTTTCTTTTCCTCCCAACGATCAGCTGTTCCGACAATTGGCTGTGCCGGGATCTCCCTTGCTGTCTTACTGCTTCACCCAGGAGCAGTATCCTGAGCAGCATCCTGAGGCCCAGGAAGCAAAAAGGGGCACGTGGAAAGGGGTGTATTGAGTGCCCCTCCTGCGCTCCATTTTTTTGCCTTTTGGGGCCTCAGGGAAGTTTCCTGGGTGCAAAAACACCCCCCCCCCCCAGGAGACTTACCTGAGGCCCAGGAGACCCAAAAACAGAGTGTGGGGGGGTTGCTGCAAAAAAAGCCATGCCCACCTCACCACGCCCACAGAACCGGTTGTTAAAAAATTTGAATCCCACCCCTGTTTCAGTGACTTAGAATTCCACCCTGAATTTAGATCCCAATTCTATAGTGGCAATGTGGTTGCCATATTTTGCCTGTGTGATAGAAGTGACTCACCTGAAACAAACCCTAAAATGATTTCAAATATTTCTGACGGTATGACTTCGAAATCTCCTAGAGTGGGAATAAATGAAATCTCTGTTTGCATGGTATTATTAGATTGATGGGAAGTACATTGATGTTTGTCACTAGGGTCCAAAGTAGAGCTATTTCTTGTAGGAGATGCCGTCGCCTCTGTTGGGTTTGTATCAGGTGATGTGTCCTGACAAAAACATTTAAAATAAAAAAGAGAAAATTAAATCAACAAAAACAATAAAAGTAGGCAGAAAAGTGACAGAAATATGTTTAGTTGTTTCATAAATACAGCACATATAAATATTATGTCAATGATGTATAAAATTAATATTTTCATAGGATTCCTGAAAAAAACTAAAAATAAGATTTAGTATAGAGCTGGACTATTTAAACTCATTAGAAATCTAAACTCAGGGAATTTGAAGCAAGAGGTGAAATATTGCTCACAAATCCAATTACTTAATTTGAAGAAATGATGCAAATAATAAGAACACTCCTTCAATTCATAATGATAATCAGTAAAACAGCTGTGCAACATTTTTTATTTAATCTCAAAAAATTCACACAAGAGCAAACAAATCTTCACAATACCTTAATGCAGCTATGCTATCTCTCACAGACAGAGCTGCCAAGATAAAAGATGTGGCTTGCTTGAAGACAGATGTGCTAAAGCACTTTTTGAAAATGTAATTTGAAACATTACCAACTTCCAGTAATCACAGTAATCACTCTTAATTGGGAAAGAATCCTTCCAAATATTTTTCCCAAAAAGATTTATGATTGAGGAAATATTCTTCCTTTTCAATTATGCCGGTTTACATTTTATTTATTCAATTTCTATAGCTGCCTACTCAATCAAGTGACATGAGGAGACTTGCCTTTCTAAAACTATAAAACAGGTAAAATAATTAAAAACAATAAACAGTAAAAACTTCCAAATATAAATACGTACAGTACCCAAAGTAGTTAAGTAGCTAACAAGAAAGTCAACAAATGGAGCCCTCAGTACATTCCAAGCCCAGGCTTGGATACATAGCCAAGTTTTTAGAGCCTTGTGAAAGGTCAATAGAGTTGGGGACATTGTAATCCCCGAGGGGAAAATATTCCACACAGCATGGGCTATTGCAGAGAAAGCCTATCTTCTAGTTATTGTTGTCATTATTATTATTATAGATTTAATATTGAATTCGATTACCAGGCTGGGATGGGTAAAAACCAAAGGTGGTATTCATCAGGTTCTGACCAATTCTAGAGAACCGGTAGCGGAAATTTTTGAGTAGTTTGGAGAACCAGCAAATACCACCTCTGATTGGAGATTTTACGGTATCCTTCCCCTGCCATGCCCATCAAGCCACACTCACAGAACCAGTAGTAAAAAAGATTGAATCCCGCCACTGGTAAAAACTTAATAGTTCAAGCCCTAACCAAGGACTAACAGCTATTAAGGTAGCATCTGAGTATATAGGCAGTTCCAAGTTGGGTGGGTTTTTTTGAAAGTTAGGATATTTAGATTTGCATAATAACAACAACAACAACAACAACAACTTATATGCTACCCATCTCACTAGATCAGACTCTAGGCAGCCTATATATATTCAATTAAAAAGCACAATGAAACTTTAAAACAATAAATAAGAGTCTTAAATTTAATTGATACTCTTTGGCTGATGGGCTCTGCAATATGTCTATTCTGCTGGATTGCATTGGACACTAGAATAGAATAGAATAGGAATAGAATAGAATAGAATAGAATAGAATAGAATAGAATAGAATAGAATAGAATAGAATACTTTATTGGCTAAGTGTGATTGGACACACAAAGAATTTGTCTTAGTGTAAATACTCTCAGTATACATAAAGAAAAGGTACATTAAGAATCAAGAATCATAATGTACAACACTTAATAGTCAGGGTACAATCAACAATCATATCATACTAGGAAACAGTCAAATGGGAGGGGATGGGTGAGAAGGAGTGGTGAGAAGATTAACAGTAATAGTAGTGTACACTTTGTAAATAGTTGAACAGTGTTGAGGGAATTATTTGTTTAGCAGAGTGATGGCTTTCGGGGAAAAACTGTTCTTGTGTCTAGTTGTTCTGGTGTGCAGTGCTCTATACTGTTGTTTTGAGGGAAGGAGTTGAAACAGTTTATGTCCGGGATGTGAGGGGTCTGTAAATATTTTCACAGCCCACTAGAGACTCTTGGAAAGAAGACAGTCCCTCAAGTAACCTGATCCCAAGCCGTGTAGGGCTTTAAAGTTTGAACCCTGCACACTGAATTGTATCCAGAAAAACACCAGTAAACAGGTTAGGTAATAGTGGTGTCATATGAGTTGTGTATCTGGTACCATTTATTGCTTGTGAAGCCATATTTTGCACCAGTTGAAATTTTTGAATGCTTGCTTCACTTCCACAATTATTGATTTTTTTCCAGAATGCTATTATTACTAGAATCAGTTATATGGTTTTAATTTGTATATAAACTATATAATTGTTCAGTAAGTTATTGGCTAATTTAAAAATGCATATAATTGGCTCACATGTAAAACTAACAACAGAGTTGTTATATGATTATTCTTAGGCTTCTGACAACCTTTGCTATTTGATCTGAAATATTTTTGCAAGAAAATCTATGTAAGTAGGCCTAGAGGAGGCTGAAAACTGCCTCCTCTAAAAAAAATCTATCAGAAAGATAGCACTTAAAGAGATACATTATGATTCCTTTTCATATTAAAAAGAGCCAATATTTAAACTCTCTTTTCCGACTTGAAATAATTTAAATACTAATATTTATATGTCTTAGGTGCACATATTTATTTTGTTAATACACATGATTTCTGCACTTTGAAAAATATGTCTTAGTAGAAATATAATATCTGGCAGCAGATAAAACATTTTGGCACCTCTTTATTTTCTCTAGGCATTTTATAATCCTGACTCCCAATTTAAGCATAGTACTGTAATGCAATCAGAAACAACAGGTCGAAGACAAGAGAGCAGAAAATCTACTCTCAACAATGCTTTGACATTTATCGGTATAATATGTTTCCCTTTATAAAAGAAACATTGATAGTTCCCCATTTTGTTCTTATCATTTTAGTTTTCTGCTGTAGAGAAAAAGCAAAATAAACCTAAGTCTAAAGTTTATTTATTTACACAAATTTAACCATATTTTCAGTGTTTAAAAAACAAGCCCAAATTGATTTTTTTTTACTGCAAAAAGTTTGTGTTATATTTTTTTTTTCAGGATCTGAGTATATAAGATTGTGGGAAAAGAGAAGAAGTGATAAAGTATACTCCATAAAATCTACCAAGTATCCAAACTAGTATAGAAACATCCAAGATCGTCAGAGAGATTGTTCTTTGTTTAGTACATGAGAGATGTATGCGTTTTGTGTGGTGAGATAGATTTTTTTTCTTTTTTGTTGTATATGTGTGTACATTCGTCATATACACACACATACAGTTTAACTGTTACATCAACTGTCCTCCCCCCACCTGACTCTGTGTGTGTGTGTGTGTGTGTGTGTGTGAGAGAGAGAGAGAGAGAGAGAGAGAGAGAGAGAGAGATATTGGGCTACCTACCATTTCAGTATCAGCCTCAGATTCAGCTAATCCGCTCTTCTGTTCACCGGGGTTCATTTCTTTCATTACTGATACCCGAAAAGTTGGTTAAAGATTCACTACCTTGTCAAGATTTAAGAAAGACATAAGAGAATATCATCAATTTGCAGGTAGTACTGAATTCCAAATCTTCAAATATTATCCCCCTGCATTTATATATTGAGATGCAGCTCCGTATTGATTAACTCGCATTGCATGAGGCAGTCTTTTATCTCCATTTTTGTGGAATTTATCTGTTAGATATAAGAATGGAAGTACTGCCAAATGCTGTTCCCCTCTTTGGCTCTCAATGTAGACATTGATGAAAGATATTATCGCAAATATTGAAGATAATCAATAGGGGAAGATATCACTGGATATCACAGGACAATCAATAGGGGAAGATATCACTGTCACATTTGGTTTTTAAAGTTATTTGAGAAATGAGCTCGTCTTATAGGATATTTTCTATGGTTAAAGTTTGGTTGTTCTATTGATTCTTAAAAGTGACTTCTTTCCTCTTTGGTGTGTGTGTGTGTGTATGTATGTGTGTGTGTGTGTGTGTGTGTGTGTGTGTGTGTGTGTG